GGGCCTATTTTACTGGGTGAATTTTCCTTATTTCCTGGGAACAATAGATTTTTCCTACTGACTGTTCCGATTCTTTAGTTCACCTACTCTAACTATTAAGACTGAATCCTGTGATACCTGTGGGATTTTGGGATATCTTGGGGAATTTTTGGGAGTGGTTGTGATTCATTGGGGTTTTCGGGGATTTTTAGCAGGACTTGGGGGTTTCCAGGAAATTTGCGAGACTCTAGGGGATATTTCCGGACTCTCCGGATCATTCTGTGGAATCTTGAGACATGGTTGGATATTCCTAGGATTCCTGGGGGATTGAGCGTTCTTCTACGGCGTTCTGGTATGCTAGGGGTCTTTTCTGGGATCTCTGGGGTCTTCTCTGGAGTAGCTGGGGTAACTGGAAGGGGTTCCGAGGTATTTGGAGACATTCTGAAATTTCCTAGGGGCTGGGGTGACCTTGATTCTACTAAGTGAAAGTGGAAGCCTGACTTGGTTTCACTGGGCTTTCTATCAACTGCATGGGGACGAGGGATTCTAAGATTCTTAGGTGGAGGGATTGAATTCAGATCAAAGAGACGGGGGCTTTTCAGACTCCTGATCGTAAGACTTCGATTCAGGCTGGGGGGACGGGGAATGTTCAGGGAGATGAGTGGGGGAATTGGATCTAGAACAGGTGATCGGGGAACTTTGAGGGACATGAGTGGGGGGGATTTGATCCATCTGGGGAGGGAGTTTGGGATCTTCAATTGTTTTTCCTTTGAGATCGTGGGCAATTATCTTCTCTTTACTTTCCTTCTGTGGTTGTATGGAACGTGCAACGACTGATCCCACAACTTCATCATTACCTCTGCCCGGGTGACCTGATGGGTCGGTGGGCATTGCTTCACTACTACTGGGGTTTCCAAGGGTTTGAACGAGGGGTTGATTCGGTCCCGGGGGGAACTGGGGGCACTGCTCTGTAGGGTCCTGGGGTGTCTGCTCAAGGGGTAGGTTGGGTGGTCCGGCAACTATCAGGGTGGCTAGGTGGGACTGGCTGGGGTAAACGGAGACTGAGTGGTCTGGGGCTGTCGAGGGTCTGGGGTCCACTGTACTAGTTCGAGGCTGACTGGGGGTAACTTGAAATTCACCTGAGGGGAGTTCAATTCTGGGAGCTTCTCGCTTACGGTCAGTTCGAGATGACTCAACAATCTGTGAGGTCTCTGAACTCCTGTTCTGTGGGTTTACTTGATTTAACGAACTTCTCCAGAGCTGGGTGGGAAAGCCTAAAAGGGACAGAGGGATGTAGGAAGAATCGACTTCTTTATTCCACTCAGCGGCCTCATCGCCAAACTTTTTTCTCACTTCCAATCTGACGAATCGATCTATCAAAACCTTGGGACTTCCAAAAATATTTACTTTATGGGGATCTACAAGAGCTCTCTGCTCATAAGGGTACAGTTCCTCAAATCTACGTTTAACTTCCTCTCGATAATGGGAAATCTCGGTGGAGGGGGAGGGGACGGGTGTACTGGGAAGAACTGGGTTGGCAAACCAGGGGGCAGATATAGGGTCGGCGTTGGGTCTCAGGGTCATCTTGTTAACGTTTATAAATTTCCAAAATGTTCAAACACAAAGAAAGAGGTGGAGGGAGTGATTAATTCGGGCACCTGGGGAGGTCGAGGGAGTCATTACCTGCGTAGGGGTGTTTGTGGTCTGGGTGTTAGCCCCAGTGGTTTCCAGAAGCATTTTCTTTGGGTTTTGTTAACCCTTCAACTTCGTTAATTTCCCCAAAAATATGAAGCAGGAATTTTCCGAAATACTTTTAAAGAAATGTTTCAATGTGACTCCACTTTTTAAGAAGCAAAATAAAAACTAAATAAAAATAATAACGAAAAACTATTAACTTAATCCGGAAAACTATTGATTTGGTAAAAGGGTTCTAAGTTAACTTCAAGGGGGGGTGAGGGGTGAAATCATTTCCAGGGGCAAAGGGAAGGGGGAAAGGGGGGGGGGAAACAAATGATCTGGCACGGAAGTTTGGTAAATGACGAAATCGTATTCCCATTCAAGGGGGGGGGGTGACGAAGGAATGTCGAGATTGCGGGGGAGGAATCGAGGGATATGGGGGGGGGGTTTACGTTGGGTGGAAACGGCGGGAGGCCAAAAATAATATCCGAGGGAATGACGAGGTTAATACTCGCGGGCGAGAAGGGGGGGGGTACAAGGGAATAAATTCGAGGGCACACAGTAACATGAGAATAAATTCGAGAGGAAAAATAACCCGAGAGAAAAATATATTCGAACGATAAAAGTATTCGAAAGAGAATGCACCATATAATGTAAGGATGAGTGTATCGGGCGATCGTAACTGAGTTACGCAATCATATCAAACCCGCAACAGTGAGCCACACAAAAGGAACGGAATGCGACTTTGGGGGGGAAGACTAGGGGGGAGAAAAATAATACGCTCAATTTTTAGCGCCTGGCCCCACGTCGGGAGCCAATTTGTGACCTTTCAATATTTAATTATTATTATTTCCTAAAAGGGGGATTTAGGGTAATTAAATAATGAGGACAAATGAGGGATAAAATTAACTGAATATCTATATTTCTATTAATTTACATGATAGATGAGCAACCGAGTGATACCGTACACTCGTATCCTGCCCCTCAGAATTGTTCGGGTATTTTTGGTCTTCGTATCTGAGGGTAATTGGTATACGGTTTTGTGTAAGTTTGAATACGGTTGCGGTTCGTTGATTCCGCGTTGTCAAAATCAGCTGGCGCCCTAAATCATGGAAACAAAGTAGGTTGAGCTGCTAATTACTCCTTAGGTCCAGTGTCGGAATTCAAGAAAAACTGGACCATTCATTTGTTCCGCCTCCCTGATTCTCCAATTATCTCAATAATTATTGTTCTCAGGGGAAATCATAATCCAATTTTGTTTTTGAAAATTCTTCAGCTGCAAAAGAGGTCCTACGCATTTTCCTCCTAAAGTTACTCATCTCCGAAGTAAACACGGTTTAGTCCCTCGGAGCTTATTGTGGAAGCGACAGAAAAAAATAAAACAAAAGAGACCGAGAGAAAAAAGAAAATGATTCTTCATCTTTCCCAATTTCTCGCTTTCCTTCTTCCCTACCCTGGTCATGCCTTTCGAACGAAAAACCCAATCGTTTATTTCGCCCGCGTGAGGGGAGCAGAGTGGTATGGTGGGGATACCACCAACACCCTTGCACTTCACTCACCGATAGGCGTTCGTCCATGCCGCGCTCCTGATTGGCGCAAATTCAACTTTGAATAACTTGAAAAGGGTGCTTCCGATCGAAAAGTTCCACAGGACGATTGAGAATTGCCCCCCTAACTTCCAGTTTCAGTTTGACATTGGATTTTGGAACACTTTGTGTATGTTATAGAGGACTAAAAACTAAGAGATACGTATTTTTTTTTATCGGCCCGTTTTCGGTTTTAGGGGGTGAAAACTCCCTTTAATGTTGACCACCTCTAGGAGTGATTTTCCAATTGGACATATAAGCAGCGTGTTTGGACGAATGTTCCATAGTATAAAAGAAAGCTCATGAAGAATAATGGAAACCAGGATCGAAAACATTCCCGGGAGGTGAAATTTAGGGGGTGAACTACCCGAGTGAAAATTTTTTTTTTCTGATGAAAAAAAATATTCTTTGAAATTTGATGGAATTTTTTGAATTTGAAAGAGCATACGAAAATACAAAATACATTTTTTCAACGTTTTCTTTTTTTCGAAATTGCGACGCAAAAAATTCATTTTCTGTAATTTGCGTAGTTTGACTTTTTTTGCTGGATAAAATAAAGCTTATGAAAAATGATAAGAAGAACGAATGAAATGGTCCCCAGGTAGTGAAACTGGGGCAGAAAACTACCCCCACGAGGAGTCATTTTTCTGATAAAGAAAAAATATTGCTCAAAATTTAATAGAATTCTTCCTATTTGAAAGGTCATGAGAAAATACGAAGTAACTTCTTTGCATATTTTTGGAATAAAAATTTCTCCGTTACAATACTTTGGTTATCAATCCGGTATCACCCCTCCTTATCACGGGTATAGTAGATTATGGGACAAATGATTACCAATTTGATCACATGGAGAAGTCACCACAAATCCTTCTATCACAAGGTGTTTTGATCACGGGATAATTCAGCGGTTATGCGCCAGTTAAGTTTCCTATTGAAATATGGAATTCCTACTATGCAGTCATCAATGATGAGCCCAGGACCAATAATATGATGGAAGGTTGGCATAATACTTTTCATCAACGTGTTGGTGGATATCATGAGCAGTTGGGCAGATTTATCAATGCTTTGAAAGTCGAGCAAGCGTCGTCTGAAGTGATTTGGGAGCAATTTAATGCTGGCCGTCTCATTTGATCAAGGAATCGGAAGAAATACTGTGATTACGATGCTCGTCTCTACGCGGTGGTGACGTCGTGGGTTAATGAGGGTGATGTTTTGGAGTATTTTCGCGGGGTGGCTCACAATATTTCTCCGTGAGAAAGAACCACTATCCAACATGACAACTAAATGGATTCTAATGAATTATTAAATACTCTAAAACTTGACCCATTCATGTTTTTCAGGTTTTTTTTCCATCGTAATTAAATATACACTAAATACACTCAATTATTGATGATTTAATATTGTGTGATGTACTTTCTTGATGATCTAATTATTCTGTGATTATTTTTCTCGTGATCAATTGTCCTGTGATCATTTGCCCTGTGATCAATTGGCGTGATCAGTTCTCCTGTGATCAATAGAGGTACAATCATTAATCCGCCTTATCATAGCCTTCCCTACATGGTGAGGATTCAATGGAAACTGGATATTGAAATACAATAATGGGTATAACAAGTACTGGATGATGTGATTCCTAATGGACATTAGCATCATTACTGGAGATTAGATCATTCATTTTTTCAACCAACTATTCTTTATTTATTAGTTTTATTTTCGTTACAGTCAATACGCAAAATGGATAATATCAAGGATGGTAATTCATACAAAAATGGTATTCATAAGAAAATGATGTAAACAAAGTGATTTTTTACACCATGAGCATCTCCCTACTGCACCATTGGAACAGCCTTCAATGTCACAGTGCGGATGAGAGGATTGCCAAAATGCAAATCAACAGAATTTTCAAATTCATCCGGTTTCTTAACAATATGACCACTCTGGAACCGAGCATAACGAAATAAATTTCGATATCTTGGTGAAGATAACTGATTACGAACTAAAGATTGTAACTTTATTATATTATTCCTTGAATGTAAATTAATGTCATAGTCAAGAAGAGTAACCCTATCTGAAAAATGACGGACATAATTTTTCCATATTCTAAAACCATACAGATCGAGAGGTTGAACCTTGCCAGTGGTACCCTTCGGTATCAACATAGCCAATAATTCTTCATTTCGACGAGTTGCTTGTTGAACTGTTTCAGGACAGTGCCCACTCCACGAATCGATCAACAGTAGACTTTTAGATTCTACGTTCGGGAAAAATACTTCCTTCAACGAGGTGTTGAAATACTCTGAAAATTTTGAAAATTTTCAATAATTGTAATTAGTGTATAGAAAATATCACTGTTCTTATGCGTCGAATGTTATCTCACCTGAAGTAAGTCTCTCCGATTTCGAAGCCGTGACGAAAACATTGGATGGTCTAAAAACATTCTGTTCTACTATTGGGCCGAAAGTTCCAGAAGGTTCTTTCAAAACCAGGAAGAGAGAAATTGTGGGTTGTATCGTATAACTATGTGTTGTTGAAGGTATCGATTGTATTGTACGCGCGACTTGTTTATTATCTTCTTCAGTTAATGTTCGCCCTGAATGAATCTCCAATTGGAAACAACTCTGATCAGAGTTATAGATGTTTTCTGGGCCATAAGTAGGGAAATAAGACTGAACTTTCTGAAGGAATTCTTCTGATTGTTTTTGTGAAGCTTCTCGATTCTCTAATGTTTTCCGCGTAATGAATTTATTAATCTTCCGGGATGTAATACGGTGTGCCTTTTTAAAATGATGTAGCCACCATGGTAAAGCCGTAAACCGAACGTCTCCGAATTCTATTTCTTTCTGTGCTTGCACAGCCCACATCCGTAAGTCAATATCGTGAACGATCAATCCCGCATCAAGACCATTTCTCATATTTTTCAATGTGTATTCCGAAATACGTTTCAATTTCTCCATATATGTTCCTCCTTTATTTATTTGGTGTGCCCAGCGTCGTAATTGTCGACTCGATTTCACCTTTTTAAATCGATGTGCTACATTTTTTACAGAGAGATTTTCTTCTTTTTTTAACTTCTCCAGTATTTAACCGCTCTTTGTTTATACTCGAAATCTATGGGTGCCTTAGCTTTCGAGCCACTTTAAGAAGATTCTTTAGCACGTGATTGAAATTCTTTATCTTCAATCGCCATCATTTCTATATCTTTATAGGGTCCTTGGAAATCCAGAGATGTTTCTTCAATCATTTCAACGCTATTGTATTCCTCCATGGATTGAATCAATATCTTTTGTAACGTATCCGCTAATTCGCATTCGTCATTGTTCACAGGAGTTTCAGGAAGATTAAGAACATCAAATGTTGTCTTTAAAAGTCTGATGACGTTTATTCGATTGATTTTCATCATGAAACAGGCACAAAAAACACGATACCCAGCGAGAGACTATTTTCTTTGATGGATTTTTATAGACTGATTATGATTGTATGACTAATGAGAACGAAACTCACCAATCTTTTAAGCCGTGCATATTCATCACTGTGATATTATTTTTAAATGACTCCCCTTATCAGAAATCTGACAAAGAGGTGACACTCGTCATTGAAATATTATCAAACCCAATATCGATTCTAGCTATTTTCAGGAGAGTTTCAAGAACAATACTGCGTGTTTCTTCATGCTCTCTCCAGTCAAAATCAATCCTCAAAATCCTGAGCTATTGCTCATAGTTTTTCATGAGAAAAATGACTCCTCGCAGGGGTACTTTTCTCCCCCCAGTTTTACCACCCGTGGACGATTTCATTCGTTCTTCTTATCATTCACTACAAGCTTCATTTTATACAGCAAGAAAAATCAAAATACCCAGATTACAGAAAATTAATTTTTTGCTTCGCTATTTCGAAAAAAGGAAAACGTTGAAAAAACGTATTTTGTATTTTCGTATGCTTTTTCAAATTAAATTTTTTTTATCGAATTTCGAGGAATAGTTTTTTTATCAGAAAAAAAACTCTTCAGGCTGGTAGTTCACCCCCTAAATTTCACCCCCCGGGAATGGTTTCGATCCACAATTCCATCATTTCTCGTGAGCTTCCTTTTATACTATGGAACATAGTCCGAACACTTTACTTATATGTCCAATTGGAAAATCACTCTCAGATGTGGTCAACTTTAGACGGCGATTTCACCCCCTAAAAACGAAAAAGGGCCGATAAAAAAATACGTATCTATTAGTTTTTAGTCCTCTCGGACATATATAAACTTCATCAAAATCGGAGACGGACACCTACCTAGTGTTCCTTGTGAGTGAGCCGAGGAACATGACCATTCCCCAAAAATCGAGTGTGTCGATTTTTTTGGTGTGTTCTTTTACTTTTCTAATTGTTTGGAATCGCGATTTCAGACATTTCCAGTTTGATGTCTCCGGCCAAAAATTATCTAGCGCGCATGTTTCAATTTCTTTGATTTTAATTAGATTTAGGGGAAGAAAGACGAAGGTGACCGGCATTTCAACTCCCATAGAAAAATGTCACGTTGCAAATTTCCCGTCGGAAAGATCTTGAGTCAATTGTTACATACACTCACTCACACATACACAAGCACGGACCGGTAAATATACCATCTACATGTAAATACAATAGGAGAAGGATAAGTGGAGTATCTAAAAAGTTCAGTTTTACCACAATAATCTTCGATAGTTCACTCGAATGGAGACATATCTCGGTTAAACGCGTGTATCATATACATTTATATGTGGAATGTATCGTGGCGGTTGAGGGGAGGGGGCAATAGCTCACTGGAGGGCTGCTATGGTAAGTGGCTGCCAAGCACAGAAAGAAAACAAGAGGTGAAAATATTTTTAATTGACATCTCCAATCCACTCTTCCTTGTCATCATAAGATTAAATGGAATTAATCATTCAGGGAAATTATCATTTTCCGCTTACTGCATCGAAAATGGATCATGTATTATTCATATCCGGTAATAAAGCTTATCGTCAAAATTTCCTTTTAACGAAAATTATAATTGTAGGTGAACAATTTGCTCTGACCAATAATATTCGCGAAGAACCTCAAATCTAGCGTAATTTATGATTATGCAATCAGTTCCCAACAGAAAATTTCAGAAAACCTTATTTTGAGCTGACAGGATTTTTTATACAAAAACCTTGGACATCTTTTACCAAAAGCTCTCATTCCCTAAATAATTGCACAGATTTAAACAGGTGAAAGAAACAAGCAGGGGTTCGAGCCTATATGACGGGAGGCATATGACCGTTACTTTTTCCTTTATTAGTCTATTTCTTTTTTTTTTCCACCAATTACATTGATAGTAAGCTTTCGAATAGATCCGTAACAATTCTCTATCCTTGTGACAGCCACACAGCCGCAACCACATGCTACCGGATGTCCACAGAAAAATATTCAATTTTTCAATGAAAAAGATTCATATACAAGGTTAAGTACCTCCGAAACTGCTCGGCCGGTTGCGCCCATCAACAATGCTAACCTTCAGTATTGTAAGAGCTATCATCATACCAAATTTAAAACTTGCTATCGAATAATATGATGGATAATTTGTAATGCGATTGATTGCCCTCGTGTTAGATGCCGATTCCCATAAAACTAATCACTTTCGCGTTGGATATGTGCTTCTGAGGTCTATGCATCCTACGAGTGGAACGTGAGATATGTAATTGAGGTTGGTTCAGATAACCCTCCGGAAATTTATGACCTATTCATTACGCTACGAAGCACTGCCATGTAGATGTCACGGGCCACAATCGCACAACCCCATTTGTTTACCATATACGATTTCGGTATGAACGCTACATATGTATATGTGCATGTATCCGCGAGGTTATGCGATTGTTTCCATGTGTTTGCACGCAACTCCTCGTCAATAACAGTATCACGGGCATGTCAGAGTGGATTCTAATAGAGATTGGAGATCACTGATGTCCATGGGCAAGTTCAGTTTGTGTCTGAGGCACAGTCATCGCGGATGCGTAGGTCATTTACCGACTGAGCGATACATTAGTGACAGGCGTGTGAATGTTTACTTGTATGAGAGGATTTCGCGGAACGCATACAAAGGAACTGGTGGAGGGTATTTTGGAGAATCGGGGGACGGTATTTGATGGCCTCCAGCGATCCGGATTGAATTACGGACGAAGTGTGTATGTGAAACTTCGAGTTCCTGCACTCCGGTTGGTCGATCCTCCGGTTGGTCGATTTTACCCGGTGGCTGACCGGAGAAGTACATTTGATGGAACTTGACCCCTGATGGAATAGTTCGACGTTGAAATAGGTAATTTTTTTTTAAATATGTCGAATTTGTTGAAAAGTTGTCAAAATTGTATCAATGATCTGACGGGATGGTGAAACATATGTCAGCGAATGTCACTGCTTTGAAATAGCATGTCTAATTTTGTCAATATCTGACAGTAGGTGATCAATAATACCGGATAGCTGTGGGATTCGACATGATTTCAACTACCTTTCATGATATTTGGCCGAGTATCGATAACACCTCGACATGACAAAGTATTGTCGATGTCGTGTCGAGATCGGTCCGAAAAATGTGGAGAACTTGTCAAAGACCTGTCCACTGGAAGATGTCCAGGCTCTGCCTCATATTATCCGAGCATATTCGTCGATATTCTACCAACTGTTGATAATCGCAAAAGTCGAAATGATATCGATATATGTTAAATCTTGTCACTCCACATGTGATGAGCTAGTGACCTGAACTGGTATCGAAGCGATGTCGAGGATTGGTCAAATCCGGTCGTTTACATGGACGACATTTAATCGAGTGTATGTCGAGACCATGTCGAAAGTTGTCCGATTATGCTAGCCGATATTTCATCAATTGTTGACACTAGCAAATATCGGTAATTTGTAAAGTGTGGGAATTCCCAAAGGGAATAACGTTATGGAGATTATGTCGAGACTCTGTCGAATGTTGATATTAGCGAACATCGAAATAATATCGATGTATATCGAATCATGTTACTGCCCATATGCGATGAGCCATTGACCTTGACTGACGTTAAAGTGATATAGATTGGTCAAGTCCGGTCATTTACACGCACGACGTCTACATGGTGTCCCAGAACTCAATGTCCAAACTTCACCCGGAAGTTCGGGGTCAAATTCTGGATCGAAAAGTCCTGAGGATCTTTTCAATCGAAAGCACCCTTTTCAACTTATTTAAAATTGAAGTTGGATGAATCAGGAGCGCGGGATAAACGGACGCCTAATGGTGAATGGAATGTAAGTGTTGCTGGTGTCCCCACCATACGGCTCTACTGCCGTTAGGCGAACGAAATAAGACTGCAACCTTCGTTCTGGAGGCCTGAGAGGGGAGGAGAGACAGGGAGAAGAGGGAAAAATTATCAATCCCCGCCCATATCGAGGCATAGGTTGTTTGAGGGGTGGAAACCTCGATTTTTCGCATTTTTGATGAAACAGAATTGTTCGCAAAAACAATATTCGAAAAAACCAAATAATTTTCATCACAGAATGTATTAGGAGGGGCTACACCAGCGATTACATGTCTAAATAATACACGTAAATATTAACATTGACAATTTCAACACGAAAACTCAACAAAAACAATCTCAACACGGCTCAATCTCAACAAATTCATTCAACATTATACAATTCAACACGAAATAAAAACAACATAATCCAAATTAATATCACTTTATTTCAACACAAAATCCAAAAATTTGAAGAAGATTCATTCAACACTGTGTGACGGACACGATCAATATTTAAAGGGTTAATTATCCTCAAATGAATAGGAATATGAGAGCAAGATTCGTCACTTAGTCACGATCGTGACTCATACCATTTAATTAAATAGTATTTGGGAACGTTTTGCCGTGGTAAAACACTGAAGTGTACCAATGTATGGAAGAATATCGACAAGAGGTAAAATTGTAATAAATGTATAGATTTATTCAACAAGAATTTGTCAAATTAGAATCAAGGTATTGAATTACAATGATTATTGGAGGAAATGATGTTGAAAATCAATCGTTGAATTTCGATTGATTTTTCTGTCAATTTCGGATGTTGATGAATCTTCAGTTGGAGACGAAATGTTGTGGATTGGCTGGATCTGGAAGGCCCCAGTCAGTGGAAGATTGAGATGGTTTACCAGGTTGCG